GCTTCTCAGAGTAGGCAGAAGAGTTATCATGACAAGAGAAGGAAAGATCTTGAGTTTCAAGAGGGAGACCATATGTTTTTTAGAGTTACACCGGTTACGGGTGTGGGTCGTGCCTTGAAGTCGAAGAAGTTGAGTTCTCGTTTTATAGGTCTGTGTCAGATTATTGCACGAGTGGGTGTTGTGGAATATCGTGTGGCGTTGCCTCCGACTCTTTCGAATTTGCATGATGTGTTCCATGTTTCGCAACTTCGGAAGTATGTTCCAGACCTGTCACATGTGATTCCTATGGACGAGGTTGAAGTAAGAGATAATCTTACGGTTGAAGTTTTACCGATTAGGATTTTGGATCGTGAGATTAAGAGGCTAAGAGGCAAGGATATTACGCTGGTGAAAGTGGCATGGGGAGGTGTTGCGAAAGGCAACATGACTTGGGAATTGGAGAGTAAGATGTGGAAGTCGCATCCGGAATTGTTTGGATCAGGTAATATTTTTTAGGACGAAAATTTCTAAAGTGGGGGAGAGTTATAATGCCCCGATTCTGAATTTCCCATTTTTGTTGAGTCTTTTAATTATTTTGATTGATTATTCTTTTAATTGTGGAATTTGAATATTAATATGCTATGTGTGCGTGTTGTGTTATTTTATTATTTGGAGAGTTTTGGGAATTAATTAGAGGGTGTTTTAGATAATCCTTAATTAGTAGATATTTGAGAGAAATAGAATAGAAAGAGTATAAGTGGAAATAGAGAGAAAAGAAAAGAGATAGAAAGAAATAGAAAGGAAAGAAGAGAAAAGAGAAGAGAAAAGAGGAGGAAGAGGAGAAAACCTAGAATCATCAAGAATCAAACTTCTAAGCTTCGATTAATCGGGTAAGGGTGTGAAACTTTATTATTCTTTCCATGTGTATGATTATGTATGTTTGTATTGGTTTACTTTTGGATTGGGGAGAGTTTTGCTCATTTTCCGTTTTAGGTTAAATTTGATTTAATTGCTAGAAACCAAGTTTTTACGGTGAAGAATAAGAATGAGTAGTAGAGTTTAGTCGAGGAATGTTGGACTAAGGCTGCTAGAACGAGTTGGGATTGAATCGGTTAGATTTTGATGGATTTCGGAGTTTTGGACAGTGGGGAATTCTGAGTTCGCAGACCCTCGCTAGCATGTTCGCTAGGCGAGCAGGTCGCGAGCATTCGCTGGGCATTCGCTATGGCGAGCCAGTAGCAAACGGTCCCAGACTTGGGCAGAATGGTTTTGGTGTTCTTCGCTGGTAGCGAAGGGGTGGTAGCGAGCATTCGTTAGGCCTTCGCTGAGCGAGTGAGGTAGCGAATCAAGTCAGTGGCTTCTGTTTGCCTTCGCGAGCTTGTTCGCTAGGTGAACAGGTAGCGAGCACTTGCTAGGAGCTCGCTAGGCAAGCAGGGTAGCGAGCGTAGCAGGATGTTATTTCCTTGTATTTTCATTTCCATGTGGATTCTTCGATTCAAGTACGATTAATCCTTTCTTATTATGCATAGTTGTGTGTGTGATATGAAATGATGTGGGTAGCCGTATGGCGTGAATCCTAGATTGTGAATCGTGAAGTGTGAAATGTGGCCGTTTAGCAATTTTGTGCATTTGTTTGAGTTGAGTGAAAGTGCATGATGAGATTGATGTGAATGTGCAAAATTGTATGCATTTGTATGATGTGAAGAATGCATGAGTATGTTTGTGAACGTGTATGCATTTCATGGGTGTATGGAGTCGTTTTGTTTGTGAAGCATCATGATTGCATTCTTGTGTGTCTGATCCCGTGTAGAATCTGCAGAAACCTCGTGTGCCCTTGTGGGGTGTGAGCGATGGTTTATCTTTGATCCCTAGGAGGATCTGCAGAAACGATCGTGTGCCCTTGTGGGGTGTGAGTGATAGTTTATATTTGATTCCATGAGAATCTGCAGAATGATTGTGTTCCCTTGTGGGGTGTGAGCAATCGGATTGTGTGCCCGTGTGGGGTGTGAGCAATCCTGAAACATCTTGTGGCCATGTGGCGTGTGAGCGATGGGTGAACATCGTAGGCCCGACGGGAAGTTACTTCAGTAATGAGCGATGGTTCCATTTGGTTCTTCAATTGAACCTGCTGAATGAGTCGGTACCGCATTTGCATCTGCATAGAGTCGTGAGTCAGTCTCTATGAGTGTATTATTATTTTCATGTGATGTATTAGTGTAATGAACATAATTGTGTATGTCTATGTGAATTATTGAGGTAAACATAAGTGTAAATGTTTATGTGAAATATGTGAATGATTGATGAATTATATATGTGTTGCGATGTATATATGATTGAATTATGATGAATTGCGGTGAGAAAAGTGTTACGTGTATTCTATGTTGGTGTGTGTATATATATATATATATATATATATATATATATATATATATATATATATATATATATATATATATATATATATATATATATATATATATATATATATATATATATGTATGTATATATATATATATATATATATATATATATATATATATATATATATATATATATATATATATATATATATATATATATATATATATATATATATATATATATATATATATATATATATATATATATTATATGCATTGTTTGTTATGATAATGTTTCTCACCCTTCTGATGTTTTATGATGCTCTATGAGGCATTGCAGAGTAGGTTTGCTGGAGCTCTTTTACGAAGCGTGGCTTCGTTCTTTTTGGTCGGTTGGCTCTGATATGTAGCATCGGGTAGTTAGGAATTGTTTTGATTCTTTTGTGATACATCTGTGTATGTATCTGCTGATGAATGTTTTGTAAACATGACTTATGACTTAAATTTAACTGTTTATGTATACAATGTTTATATGAATTAAGTGATTCAATGTTTAGATGTTTCCGCTTTTATTCTAAATATTGATATGTGGGTTTTAAGGACTAATCTCCTTGGTGGTGATTTACCCTTTGTTGCATGTCTTTATGAGCAGGTGTTGTTTATGTTTTTAATTTCCTGGATAATGTGACGTACCTCTTTTATACCATGTGTTAATTATACTCTGATGAAAATTTTTATTAAATGCCTAAATATTTAATTGTTTATTTGGGGGTATAGAAAGGGGTGTTACAGATATGAGTAATGCAATAGATGAGTTATGGAAAAGGTTTAGGTCAGTAGATATTGTTGGGAAAAAGGGCATTAAAAAGTAGGGTTTTTGAACTTGCCTTCCCCACAATGATTTCTTTGTGTCCACCACCTGAGAAAATAAAAACCAAAGGGGGGTCAAGAAGAAAGGCAAAAAACCAGTAGGGTTTGATGTTTATATGGATCCTTCATATCATGAGTATGTTGATCAAGCATCTTAATCTTCACAGAGGCAATCTCAATCATCACACATTTCGAAGAAGTTAAAATTATCACAATCTTCACAAAAGAAATCTCAAGCATCACAGGCTTCGAAGAATTTGAAATTATCACAATCTTCACAGTCATCTAAGCAATTCATCCTTCAGTTTTCTAATCACACCAGGTCATATATTGATGATGTAGTTATTGTTGTATCACATGGTAATTGTGGATTTAGAGTCATTTTTTTATTGCATGGATATGGTGATGATGGTTGGCCAATGGTTCGTCGAGACTTAGGGTTGGAAATGATAAATAATGAAAGATTAAGTTTGTATGTCAATTTATTTGCTGATCGGTTAGCAGAAGTGAGAGAATCTTTGATGATAGAGGCATTTGGTCCTCAACCACCACAGAAATGGTTGACTCTACCAGATATGGGTTACTTGATAGTGAATTGTTATAATGTTGTACTTGTCTGTTTAGGTTTTGAATGTTGGACTTTCTTCCCTATGACAACTTCATTTTTACCAAATGTATCCTTTTACTGCATTGGTTTTGTAAATACAAATCATTGGATTCAAGTATTTAGTTATTTTTACTTAGTTATATTTAGTTAATGTGACTAACCTAATTTCTTAACATTTTGATTTTTTTTATTCGGGTAAACATGAAAGAAGGGTTTCCATTGCCACCAGTGGCAGTAGATTGGAAGAAGTTTCGTTCTCCAGCAGCAACATCTTGGATGCTAGGATTTGCAAGACGTCTACAACATTGGCAACAACTTACGCCTATATTACCAACGCATTATGAATTATAAATTATGTTATTCATTTTTAATTTCAAAACATGAATCATGAATTATATTATTCATTTTTAATTTCAATAACACATAACTGAATTCAAAACTAAACATCAGTTTACAAGTTAACTCGTAAACATAACCTAACTAGGTGAAGTGAGTCTAAAAGTTAATACACAAACATAAACATAAGTCAATAAGTCTAAAAGTTAACACACAAAAATAAACATAAATATAAGTCAATGCGAACGAGCAATACGTAAAGCTTCGAACAACTCATCAAATTGTGGATCATCCTCTTCAACACCAGCCTGTTGAAGATAACGAAGAATTAATTTAGAAACACGAGCCCAGCTAGGATCAGGCAGTCCTGCATTGTAAATAGGAACTAGCACTTCTCTTGGTGCATCACGATGGGGCGGTATCAGACGAGGATGCGAAATACGATAATACCACTAAAGATATTCATCATATGTCTCAGATGGGATGATAGAAAGTGATGTGCGAGGAATCACACCCCCAATGCTCTGATGGTAACTAATCCACTTAACATCAATATCACTAGCCATCATATAATCAAGAGGTGGAGGTGGAACATACTGCCTGTATCCAAACTGACGCATATATCTGTCAGGCAAGTATGGAACAATAGTGTCACCCCACCTCAGACATCCCCTATATAGACATAACTCATCAAACTGACACCATACTCTATGATCCTCGAATGGGCGCCATATGACATCGGCAGGTGTCAGCTCGTCCAGAATAGGTCGCAAGTCATCCACCTTCAAGTCACCTTGCCTATAGGATCGTCTCATCGCTCGAGGGAGACGAACATTATTAGCTGGTATTCAATTCTCTCCTTTTTTACCAAGTGTTGGAAAATACTCATGAATCCAACACTGTTACAAAATTAATACTATTAGTTAATTTAAAATAATTAATTATAACATAATAAACTAGATAAATACAATTAATATACTAAATAAAATTAATTAAAACAAAATAAACTAAATTAAAATAAATACTTGTAGGAGAGTTAGGTAACCACCGAGCTGCTTACAACTGAACATGGAAGCATCTATGAGATATCTATAAAGGGTAACCAATGCAGTTTCTCCCCAACTGTGTCCTGATATGTCATCCAAGTCTATAAATAGTGAGAGGTATCGTGCCTCGACAAGCGTAAAGGTCTTGTCCGCAAAAATCGTGGAACCCACTAACATCAACAAATAAGCTCTAATCGCATATGCCCATCTAGAAGCAACTCTAAGCTCTACGAATCGATCATATAACCACTCCAAATTATAGTAAGAATCAATGCAGCCAGTGACTTGTTGTTATGCCACTCTCTGTGACACTCCTAAGTAATCAACAACCCACTCAACAACAAGCCTTTCACTGATATCTTGAGGGCTCCATAAGACTCCCCTGACGGGCAAGTGAAGCAGACAAGAGACGCCATCCAGAGTAATCGTCATCCCACCAAACAGCATGTGAAATGAAGATGTCTCTAGATGCCATCTCTCTGCAAATGCGAAAACCAGGTTCGTATATATCTTCGTCAAACTAGTTCTCTGGAGTGAAGATAGACCATACCTAGATACCCAACCATCCATCTCTCTAGGTAGCTGTAATGGAACCCTCTTAATCAGCTTCAACCCATGTCCTGCTACTAGCTTCAACTCTTTCTTCGTACCTCTCTCCTGGAAAAAAAATTAAAAGTAAATATATTATAAAATACAACATTAAAAATTCAGATTTTATTCAATATCAAATAATTGTTGTTTACTTACCTCACTGAACCATATATGTCTAGTAATATGATGTTCATACTTAACCAAAAGAAAGGTATCATACGGTCCTCCTGGATATCCAACAGGCTATGTTGCTGATGTTGATGCACCAGTATACTCTTCCTCAGCCGTTCTCGATGATTTTCCCTTTCCTAAATCGCGATCAGGGATCATACCGTCCTTGCCTCGTGTGCGTACCATTGCTAAAATAAAAACAAAACAAAAAGTTAAAAACATAATATATATATATATATATATATATATATATATATATATATATATATATATATATATATATATATATATATATATATATATATATATATATATATATATATATATATATATATATATATATATATATATATATATATATATATATATATATATATATATATATATATATATATATATATATATATATATATATATATATATATATATATATATATATATATATATATATATATATATATATATATATATATATATATATATATATATATATATATATATATATATATATATATATATATATATATATATATATATATATATATATATATATATATATATATATATATATATATATATATATATATATATATATATATATATATATATATATATATATATATATATATATATATATATATGAAGGTGAGAAAAACACTTAGAAGGGGGGGGGGGGGGGGGTTGAATAAGAGTTTTAAGAATATATGGCAATAAAAACAACTCAAGATTTTTATCCTGGTTCGTTGAACTCAACTACTCCAGTCCACCTTATCAAAGATGATTTGCCTTTCTCCACAAGGACTTAATCTACTATTGATCAACTGATTACAATAGAAAGCACTAAGAACAACTGTCTTAGTCTTCTCAAGAACTACTGACCACACCTTGGTCTTCTTAAGGAACTACTTACAAATTAATGTAAACTAACAAGTGTTTGAATGCTTCTAATAAGTTGTATCACAACTGTGATATTTACACTTAAGATTAAGCACAACAAAAACTATACAGTTTTATGAGAGATCAAATGAATAAGATCTTTGTGAGATTTTTCACTTTAATGAATCAAGCGTGTATTTCTTTCTGAGTGAACTAGCAACGAGCAAGTGATGAGCAGGAAATTAGCAGCTTCAAAATGTTGTAGACGTTCTTCTTTTATAGCTTTTTCAAAATGCTTTGAGTGATGTGCAGCTGTATATAATATTAGATTGTAAGACTTTTCATCACCAAAAGTATGGGCAGAGATATGCTTTCTGCGGGAAAAGTATGGTTGTAGAAGCCTTGGGATTTGCACCACTTCACTTCTTTGGACAAATAGTCGTTGGTTACTTTGGAAGTAGCACAACGTCCAATCAAGTTTACAGCTTCTTCAGCAAGCTTCCTTCAGGATGAAGTCTTCATAATCTGCACTTCAGAACTTGTAGCAAGCTTAAAGGTATGAAATACTTTAAGATGATCAGAGCTAGAATAATTGAGATGTTCAGAGCCTTGAAAGATGATCAGATCTTTAATGTATCAGAGTCTCAATCTTGATCAGAGTCTTCATCAGAGAATGCAGCAGTATGTGCTAAGAGCGTGAATATTAATGATAAGAGTCTGGTTATCAAAGCCTCTGAACTTGTAGTCAAAAGAACTTCAGAGTCTAATTAGATCAGAGCTTTCAACTTTTGTACACTTCTTTCATTAACGCTTCAAATCATTCTGATAGCTTCTGCTTCAGATCCTTCTGGCAGCGCTTCAGAATCTTCTGATAGTCTTGCATCTGATGCTTCAGAGCCTTGCATAGTTTCTTTGTACTTATGTATTTTGCTTCTTTAAGAGTTTTCAATTTTATACCTGAAACAATAATACTTGAACAAATTTTAGAGTGTATATTTTCTTAATACAAAATTCCATAAAAGTTATCATCAAAACATAGAGATATAAGAAACACCAATCTGTGTTCTAACAATCTCCCCCTTTTTGATGATGACAAAACATAGGGAATTTTGTTCAATAAAGAGAAATAAAATATATAACTCCCCCTGAGATTAAGAATCTCCCCCTGAAATGAATACTCTAATAGAAGAGAACACTTCCCTTTTTGCTTGAGTATATTTCAGAACCTGGTAGAAATCCTTGTTGAGAGAGAGAATTAGAGCTTGGATGCTTTCCAGAATTAGAGTCTGATGATTTCTTTCAAAATGAAGAGTCTGGTGTATCTTCCAGAATCAGAGTCAAATTTTCTTCAAGGATTAGAGCCTGGTTGGGTAATTCTCAGGGTAACTTCAGATCATTTTTGTCAGATGAAATAATAAGATCTGAAAGTCTTAAGATTCAATGTTAGATTAAAATAATGTCTGAATTTCATTTTAGTATTGCTTATGGATTGAACAATCAAATTCTCTTTCTCCCCCTTTTTGTCATACTCAAAAATAATTTTAAAGACAGAAAAGATAACTGAAGAAGAGAAAAACACAACACATAAATGAAAAACATAACAGCCAGATTCATTCAGATCAAGATAGCAAAAAAAAACATCAGATGTTCATACAGCAGATGACAGAAAATAGAGCAACAGAAAACAAGTGCAAAACAAGAATGCAAAAACAAGGAAAAGAAAACTATGGCTGGCGAGAAGCAATCAGGGTCAGAAGATCAGTAATCTTAGTAGTGGACTCTTCTTGCTTGGCCATCCAAGTCTTGATCTCTTCAGTAGTCTATTCCTGTTTTATCATCCAAGATCTGATTTCCTTGACTTCTTGGACAACATCTGGAGTCTCAGTCTTCATCTCAGATGCAGAAGGTTCAGAAGCAGATGCAGTTGCCATAGGATGATCAATCTCCATGTCAGATGCAGGAGTATCTTCTATCATTGCAGAATCTTCAGCAGGAGCATCTTCCAGAAGAAGCACTGGGGTTGTGATAATGCTCAGCAGAGTCTGTCTGACCATTTCAGCAAACTTTGCCTTTGCATCATCAGCACAAAGTGTTCTGAGGTCAGATGCAGCAGAGTTGAACTTAGAGATGAATCTGTTCCAAGAGGCTTCAGATTCAGCAGGATCCATACTAGCCATGCATTTTTTCTCCACAGAAGCAATCCCTATACGTATTTCCTTCTTGAAGTTCTTGAACAGAGTAGAAACATCTAATCTGGGTTTGGGGTTCAGAAAGTCTTCTATGGTGACTGGTTGTGATGGTTCAGGAGGTGTTTGGTTTTGTTCAGGAGGTGGGTGATCAAATGATGGTTGTTCAGATGGTGGTTGTTCAGATTGTTGGGGTATGGATGGTTGTGGTTCAGATGGTTGTGGTATGGATGTTTGTGGTATGGTGAGTTGAGGAGTAGAGGTGTCATCATCAGATGGTGTTGATGTAACATCAGATGAGGATGTTATAAATCTGTGAAGTTGAATTTGAAGCGAAGAGGGTTGTTAGATGCAGGTAGCTCAGATGGTAATGGTCTAAAAGGATCAGGAATATGTAAGCTAGTTGGTGAGGGGAATTCAGAGTCATCAGAATCAGATGATTCAGTTGAATGACATGAAGTTGAAGAGAGGACATACATGGTTGCAATAGGTTGCACATCCAGAATGTCTTCAGATGGTTGTTGGACAGATGGTTTAGGATTTTGGATGGTTAGTTCTTCTGGTGGTTGAGTAGAAGAGAGTGGTTCAGATTGATTTTGTGGTTCAGAAGATGGTTGTTGTTGTGGTTCAGATTGTGTTTGTTGAGGGGGTTGTTGTTCAGAAGATTTTTGTTGAGAGGGTTTATATGGTATTTGAACAGACGATGGTTGAGAATGTTTGTGAGGAGATGAAGTGAGTTCAGATGAATGAGGTTCAGATGGTTGAGGAGGAGATGGTGGAGGTGAAGGTGAGGGTGAAGGTACAGATGGTTTGGAATCAGATGTTAATACCTGTTGAATTGTTTCTCTAATTTCTTCCACGGTAGCTTCTGGAGGATTTTCCTTCTGTTTCTTGTCCTTCTCAGGTTTGTCAGCAGCATCAAAGGCTTTCCTCTTGGGCTGTGCAACAGATCCTTCCTCAGCTTTCCTCTTCTTGCGCCTTTCTCTCAGAAGATTTGGAAATACTTCTCCTTCTTTCTGAACTATGTTAGCAGGTAGGGGGATACCTGTCGCGGTGAAATTTTGATACCAAACTATTGATCAGTTTGAATCTTATATTCATTTTGCAATCAAACTTTGATTTGTCCAAAGGAAGGGATAAATATCGAAATTCCCACAATGCAATGCAAATGCAAGGTTTAGATTGTTTAGGTTCGGGGGTTGGTTAAACTTAGGGAAGGTACTAGCATCCTAAGTTTCTGTAGTACTCTACAGGAGCCTCTTGTTTTATGTTTGTTTATTGCTATGGTTTATCTGCTTAAAGGATTAGAGACCCTAGTGGTTTATTTCTAAGTATACTCGATAAGATGTCGCA